GCTTAGGTTAAAAAATTTGAAAGAAATGAAGATATCCTTGGGTGGTGTGGCTATGATGTTTAGATTGGATGTTATGGTGGCACTGGAGAAGTGTAGCTTTGAGGTTCTTATAGCATTCCTCAGTTTTATCAGCAGTTGCAAATTATGTTATATTTTTAGTGATGACGATTGGAGTTTTTTGTTGGCTTTTAGGCATGTTGAGTAACTATTGAAGGAGGGATTGGTTGATTGGTGCTTAGTATTCTTTTGATTGTTTGTTCAGTTGTTGGTGTGTGACGGATGAGCTACTCAATAGGAGAATGAGTTACATAAAGAAGATGTGTTGTCTTGGAATGTGCTTAATAACTGAGCAATACTACATCAACAACTCTCTCTTACAAACTTTTTCTTATAACTTTGACGTGTTAGCTTACAATTGGTTAGTTTGTAATTAATTAGTGAGTCTCTTGCGAGACCTATGTGAGATTTGTTGTGAACTAACTAATTATAAGCTACCACTTCAGAGTTGTGAGAGTTGTGAGAGAAAGTTGTTGGTATAATATTATTCTTTATACCTTCATGCATCATGATTGTAAGTAAAACAACTTATTCACGGTACTTAACAAGTTCATTTCAATAGTAATTGTTTGCAGTTTTATTATAGTTTTATGAAAAGACATAAATACCCTTAATCAATTTAAATCAATTTATTTTTAATTTTATCAAAGAAAGGTTGTGAAAAAGGTTTAACTATCAATTGATTTATATATAGTTTATTAATCAATTTAATATTTAATTAATTAAAAAAATAATGCAAACAACATCAACATATCAATCACGTAAAAAATATAAAATTCACTAACACGTAATGTTACTGAAAGGGTATATAAAGAATATCACATAAACATGAAGTTCACGACTATAAACCCTGTACGTGAAACTTGAAAGTAGAGAAGCATATCAGAAATGCAATCAAAGAGGAGGAGACCCAACCTCAGGTTTCAATTTATTCGAGCATTTATGTAGTGTTTTCTCAAGTTATTTTTATTTGTAGGACATTTGTATTTCTGGGTTTATGTTGTGATGAGGATGGAATTTATGTTTCGATGATGCTGGATAGATTAGTTTTAGCTACTCTTCATTGTGTTGATGGTTTAACTCCTAGTTATTCTATAATTGCTCAGTTTTTAAACTCAATATCATATTCTGGGTTCATACTGCTTTACTGAGATTAGATTTTCTCATTTCTGGGTTCATAGTGTTTAACTTTATCTCTCAAAGATCTCACTATCTCGGTTTCTAAGTCTTTTTATTTACTGTTTTGCTCCTTATTTTCCCTTCACTTTATATATGTATATGTAACCAACTTTATATATATATATAAAGTTGGTTACAAGCTTCTGTTTAGAATTGGGTAGATATTCTGATTTTGTTATCTATATTTGTATTTTGTATGTCAAAAGCTAAAGCCCACTAAGTGTTTGATAAAAGTTCTCAATGAAATTAACAAAATAAAGAAAGAAAATTTTGTTAGCCACTTTGAGGAGTTTGTCACTCATGGGGATTTCCCTTATAGATGAATTCTGTTTTTTCCTTGAACCTTATGGGAAAATTTGGCCCCTCAATTGTACTTCTTGTCTAAATTCCTTTTAGCAATGTGTGTTCATGGGGCTTTCTGAGATTTTTGTTTATTGTTTGTTAATCTTGTAGGAGGTGTGAATGGCTGTTTTCATTGTGCTTGGCCCTGTGAAATTTATCCTATTAACGTTATTTTTGTGATTGCACTGCTAGTTATCTAATCACCCGCTTTCAATTTTGGTTATCAACAGCATTGAAATGTGGTTTTGTTTCTCCTTTTCTTTTTACCCTATTTCCTAAGGGAACGTTGTATCTGAACTTCTCAGTTGCAGGCTTTTGTTTAGTCACTAAGAAACTGTGATGCTTCTTTTCTCAAGTATTTATTTATTTTCAGATGAAAAGGTTGAATAGTGAGAGACTACAGATGAATGAGAGAGAAGAAGAATATGAGACCAAGCCCAACTTACTTTGTTTTGGAATGAACATTCAGTTCACTCAGATTCATTTCAGCTGTAAATATAAATGCAGTTAGTTTAGGTTTCCATAAATTCAGGTTGGCTACAACTTAAGACTCTATGCCTGCAAGACTACATATGTTTATGTGAGATCTTTGCTCTCTCTCTTTGAAAAATCAAAATGCTGATTAGACACTTGAATTTTTCTAAACGATTAACAACCTTTCTTCAATATCAAATGTTCCACATCCGCCTCTTAACCACCACAGAGTCAAATCATCCCACCTCTCCAACTCCACCACCACTTCCCCAGTCAATCCAGCCCACCTCCTTCGAGTCTGCACTGTCCTTTACCAACAACAAAATTCACCTGAGTCACGCCTCCACTCAAACCTCTCCTCCTGCAACTTCAACCTTACTCACGAATTCTTCCTCCAAGTCTGCAATAGCTTCCCCCTTTTTGGCGCCCCATTTACCTCTTCTTTCAATACACTCAAAAGGCATACCCACATTTTACTCACAACTCAATCACCTTCAACAAGATGGTGGACATAATAGGTAAATCAAGAAATATTGATCTGTTTTGGGAGGTTTTGCAAGAGATGGGACAGCTTCTTTTTGTAAATGATAAGACTTTTAAGATTGCATTAAAGACTTTGGCTGAGGTTAGGGAGTTGAAAAAGTGTGTGAACTTTTTCCATATAATGAATGATTGTGGGTGTGATTATAGTTTGGAGAGGTTAAATAAGGTGGTGGAGATTTTGTGTTCAAGTAAACTTGTTGTTGAGGCCAAGTATTTGGTTTTGAAGTTGAATGAATGGATTAAGCCAAATGAGATTACTTATGGGTGGTTGATTAAAGGGTTTTGTGATGTGGGTGACTTGATTGAGGCTTCCAAGATTTGGAACTTGATGGTTGATGAAGGGTTTATTTCAAGTGTTGATGTGGTTGACAAAATGATAGAAACTTTTTTCAGGATTAATAAATATGAGGTGGCCATGAAGGTTTTTCAGATGATGAGAGTCAAGAGAATGGATGAGTTGGGGCTCTCAACTTATAGACTTGTGATCAATTGGATGTGCAAAAGAGGAAAAATTTCTCAAGCTTATGTGATGTTTTAGGAAATTCTCATGTGAGGGATTGAAGCTGATTATTTAACATTGTCATATGTAATTTATGGGCTTTTAGCAAGGGGCAAAGTTAGAGAGGCTTATAAAGTTGTTGGAGCTGTTGAAAAACCAGATATTAGTGTGTATCATGGATTGATAAAGGGGCTTTTGAAGTTGAGGAGGGCAAGTGAAGCAACACAAGTGTTTAGAGAAATGATAAAGAGAGGGTGTGAGCCTACAATGCATACCTATATAATGTTATTGCAGGGGCATTTGGGGAAGAGAGGGAGGAAAGGAGTAGATCCATTGGTGAATTTTGACACCATTTTTGTTGGAGGTTTAGTGAAAGCAGGGAAGTCATTAGAAGCTACCAAGTATGTGGAGAGAGTGATGAATAGAGGTGTTGAGGTACCTAGATTTGACTACAATAAATTTTTGCATTATTATTCTAATGAGGAAGGTGTGGCTATGTTTGAGGAAGTGGGGAAGAAATTAAGGGAGGTGGGGTTGGTTGATTTAGCAGATATATTGAAGAGGTATGGGGAGAAAATGGCAACTAGAGAGAGGAGAAGAGATAGAGCTGATGAGCCATAAGATGAGTTCATAGATCTAATTGTGAATTTTACTTGTATAAATTACTAGACATAGCATATTTCACTACTTGAGTCATGATTTATCTTTCAGAGTGAGCAGAGCAATGATACAAAGTCTGATGGTTGTTCAATAGAACTCCTATTCAGTTGCTCTCTTAAACTAATGATTTTGCGGTTCATTTATGTCATGATGCCGTACAAATTGATGTGCGGAGCAGAACCTAAAAGTACAGATGACTTGGATTGCTTCAAAGGCATGCACATGTATGTCTTGTGTGGAGATGTGGAGCTGATTGCCTGTGGAAATTGGCAGATGAGAAGGAAAACGGGGATCTAAACAAAGGCATACAAACTAAGTGATCATTGGAAGGATTGAAGATGCATAGGAGGTGACTCTGTACCTTAATGATCAGAAAATGACTAATGAATTATAGTATTTGAACCAAGATTCCCTGGGGCAAAATTTAAGTTGCTTTCGAATTTTCTAAGTATGAATAGTTGGGAGGAAGAGTGTCCAGTTCTCCCCTTCCAACGTTCATCAACTTGCCTAATTTTCTGTGTTAAGAACTGTAATGTCAAAATATGAAATAAAATCAACTATAACACTATATAATCTGTTTTATATATTTTCTCTTCGTACCATCAAAATTTTTTAGTTTAATCTCTCTGTGTCCAACTCCAAGTTTATAAGTTAAAGAGCAATTTTCTTTTTTAGTTCTTTTTTTTTTTTCAGAGTTTTAGTAAATGTTTAACCTTAAAATTGTGAATATATGTATATGCTTTTTTTTTTTTTATAAATTATTACATTTATGAAATTGAAATGGTAATTATTGATAGAAAAAATAACATTAATCCAATTCATCAATCTAATGGATATAATAAAACTTAATATGATGATTATTATGTTATGTCACATCAATTTATACTATATATAATTTTTATTTCTTTAAATAAATTGTATTGATATAATAATTGTTAAAAAAATAAAGCAACTGGGAATCAGGCATTACAAAATATCTCTGGGTCCAGCCGCCAGGGGAACGAAAACCTTGTACTGTAGTATAATGTATAATAATAATAATAATAATAAAATAAGCCGTTATAACAAGAATTGCAACGGTCACCTTTTCAAAGATTCAAAATGAAAAAGAAAATCCCCCCAATTTAACACTCACTCTCCAAATTATATAAACCAAATTCTCTTACAAATAATTACAAAGCCCTAACCATTTTCCACTTTTTTTTCCTTCTAACAGTTGAAGAAAGATCTAAATCTCAGTCCTAAAATGGCTGAAAACAAACCTGAAGAGAGGAAAATCCCAGTCTTTACAGTCATAAAGAACGGTGCCATTCTCAAGAACATCTTCGTCATCAACAAACCACCACCACCACCATCACCCTCCATCACGGCCGTCGAAAATGAAGAAAACTCAGTTCAAGACGATGAAGAGGAGGAGGAGGAAATCTTAATGGTTGGTCGACACCCAGATTGCCACATCATGTTGACTCACCCTAGTATCAGTAGATTTCACCTCCAGATTCACTCTAAACCCTCTTCACAGAACCTCTCTGTCATCGATTTATCGTCTGGTAATATAAAATCTTGATTGTTAGTTGGTGATTTCTTCATTTAATTTTCATGCGTTTGTGTTTATTTGGATTTTAATTGGAGGGTTTTTGGTACTTGATGGATTGCAGTACATGGGACGTGGGTATCAGAAAGAAAGATTGAATCTTGTGTTCCTGTGGAGCTGAATGAGGGAGATACTATAAAGATTGGTGGGTCAACTAGGATCTATAGGCTGCATTGGATACCTTTGAGCCACGCATACGATATGGATAAACCGTTTGTATCACCCTTGGATGTGACCGTCGCAGAAGAGAAAGAAGAGGAAAATCAAGTGGAAACGCATCAGGTGGGAGTTTACGGCTTACTAGTGAAAATGATGGATGCGCATTTGTTTTTAAATTAAATTGTTCTTGATGTTAGATTATGAATTCAAAGTAAAATTTTTCTTTTGTAACAAATATAGAATGGTACTGGAAGGAATGGAAGAAGAAACATGTTGAGTCGTTAATTTTGGATGAATAAAAGCTAGTTGAAGGTCTTTGTTAAGTTGTTCTAGTTTTCACTCTGTCTTGGTTGAGAAGTCTGAGCCATTTGAGACTGGAAAAAGTGAATTGACAGGTTCATTGGTAGTGGAACCAAAAGAAGAATTGAGAGTTTATGGGTTAACAGTGGAAGGATGAATACCCACTTGTTTTTTTCTTTTATTAAATTGCCCTTGACTTTTTTCTGCTTGGATTATGAATTGAGAGAAACTTTCTTTTTGTAATAAATAACATGTTGGGATGATAATTTTAAGTGAATAAAAGCTTATTTTGGGGTGTTTTTAAATTGTTCTTCTTGTTTTCGGACTGTCTACGTTGAGAATCTGAGCCATTTCAGATTGGAAAGAGTGAATTGAGTGGTTCTTGGTTTGGAACCAAAAGAAGAAAAAAAAGCCAGGTGCGAAGATATGATTGCATGTGTACAATGTAGATTAAAGTGCTTTTCGAAATGTTCTGATATCTTCTAGTTTTTTCTGTTTTTACTTGGCATAGGGTTTGAATTCTTTTTCAACTGAAAAGTGAACACTTGAAAAGAAAGTCATCGGTGGTGGAAGAAAATGAGAAGGAATTTGTCAGGTGAGAATTTATGGTTGAAGAACTGGAAAGATAAATTTGATGTGTTTGTCCAAAATTTTGACTCATATTCTTCTTTCCCTTGTCAGGATGAGATTTCTATTTAGTTCATGATAAACCAAGTCAATCTCTGGATTGGTTTTTGGAGGGGATTGTTTCCTTGTTTTGTGATGAGGGATCAGAGTTGCTTCGGAGACAGAGATTCCATTTTCTGGGATTTACCAATAGACTTGGCTTGTCCTGCTGGGGGTAATATGTCAGTGCCTGAAGAGCAGCAAATTGATAAAGATAATAAATCCCAGTCATGGTTCTATAATAGAATTTATGCTAGAAACTGAAAATTTAGAGAGTTCCTTAAGATTAGAGAAAAAATCCAAGGTTTACTCTGGTAAAACGGAAAACCAGAGTCCATTGCAAGAAAACATGTGAGGAAGAATAATTTAGAAGTTTGGGCTGGGTCTCTTATGAAAGAGTCTACGAATTCATCTTCGGTTTTAGGGGGAGGTTGATCAGAGATCAATACTGAACAGGTCCAAGAGAAAATGAACCCCTGTTGTCCGTCTTATGCAACCATGCAAGAGAAGCCTTCGAGGACAAAAACTTGAATTTGCTATCAGCTTTAAACTCCGGTTGCTCTAATGAAGAAGGCTTTCCAGAAGCTGAATTGTCTGAAGTTGGAAACCACAGCCCAGGGTAGGCATTGAACAGAAGGAAATACACAGAAGCATTGACAAAGCTTTTGCTCTTCTATTCTTGAAGAGTCTGGAACTCTCGTTTTGCCTGTTGGGGAAGTACTCACGGAGATTACGGATAACAAAAATAGCCAGACTCCACAATCTCTGTTTTATACAAAAGGAGTTGAAGACCAAGAAAACTTAGTAGTTTCCCACTGAGAATCAGATAGAAAGCTTAGCTCACGTAGCATTTGGTCAAGAAGAGGTAAACCAGCGATTGTTCTACAGATTCAAACTAGTAGAAGCGGAGGAAAGACAACAAGAAGTCACAGTAAGGCTGATGTAGAACTGCAGATACAGGAGGATATTGAAAACAAATCAATTTCAAAGATACTTTTCGCTGGTTTTGAAGAGGAGGAAGAAGAAATCTTTACTCCAAACAAGGAGAATTTCTCCCCAAATACTCTTCCACTAAAGTCCTTGAAAAGGAAGGGTAACCTGGAAAAAATTAAGCCTTCCAGGTCGTACAAAAAATCCTCCTCAAAGATTACTATTAGCCCCAATATCCAGCCAGAAGAAGGCTTGAATTTTTCTTCAGACAAAGAGAACCAGACACCAAAAGTTCTCCAAGAGCAGAAATTAGCAGGACATGCCTCTAGAAATTAGGTGACTTGGAAGAGGAGTGGACGATAATGAAGAAAAGAACAAAAAGTGTGCCATTTCAATCCCTTGTGGCAAACTCTTCAGGTAAGAGGGGATCAGAAGCCTCACTTTCTAATGCCACAACAAGAAGTAGTCATTCTATCAATTTGTCTCAAACCATGAAGGTCACTAATTCCTCGTCCATTGGAGAGAGAAGGAGAAGCTAGGCTATGGTAGTGGATGCCATTACTCTTCTAGACAAGGAGTCAAGAAGATCATTACAACTATTACAAGGTCACTTTCTAGTGCCGCCAGTCCAACAGAGTATCATGGTAGATATTCCTTCAACCTCACAGCTCGACCCAGCCGTGATGAGTTACCTGGAGAGGTTTAATAATAGTCTCCAAATGGTTAACTAAAGGGTGGACCGTTTTGGTTGGGTCGTACCGCCAGAGTCCACTAAAGCGGTGCCGCCACCAAAGACTCATGCAGGTCACACGAAAGCACGCAAAAGGGCAAAAGCCCATATCACGTGCATTGTAGTGTGCAAAGTAAGGGAAAGCAAGTGGCAAGCAGCGGACCGAAGGGCTCCGAGGGACCAGCGATGACCACAACATGTCACAGCATGAGCCATCCCACGCCACGTCGCATGGGCAGACACTCCCACAAAAGTGCAAGGCAAGGAGATTCCCAATATCGTTGAAATGATGACCTCGACTGTCGTCATGCGGGAAACTTCATTGTCTGTGGGTCGGTTTGGACCACCGCGGAGATCGGGAAAACTCCCCAAACCTTTCAATGCTTTCACACAACCCCAACCAACGTGTGTCAAGGTTCATTGGAGCTTCCAGCCAAGTTGAGGAAGAGCCTGATTTGCGTTCTTTCCTTAACCGCAAATGTGAGGGTCGAACCCACGTTGTAGAAAGTGATCCCTAGGCAGCTTGTAGAAAGTGATCCCCAGGCAACTCTATTACTTCATATTAAGGAACTACAGCGAGCTTTTGTTAGTGTATATTAGTGTATACCCTAGAAACCATTCGTGTTGTCGGTTTCAAAGCATTTTGTCTTGTATCTATATATGATAAATAATAGAAGAAATAGTTCTTCAATTCATATATATAAATTGCTTCCTTTATTCAGTCATGCATTTAAAATAAAGTATACATATGAATTGTCCAGATGATTTATTTAATCGGTAAATGAATTATCGAAAAGGGTTCCCTGTGGAAGCAATATAATTTGGCCAACTATATTGCACAGTAGGCATATCGGATGCTTCTAAAAGATATCATGAGTTGATATAAGTACGGATGACGATGATAGTCATCTCACTGGGGCATTGGTATGGATTAGAGGTTGGTGAACTGTTTTTCGAACGTGACCGAATAACGAAAAATCACTTGGAAAAGCATGTAGTCAATGATTTATCGTTTGGTTATATCAGTGCACGATGTAGTCCTTTGACCTGAGGCATTGTAGTCGGATCCGATACGGATGCGTATGGTTCATACGATGTATAAGTAGGAGACTAATCATGTTTCATATAATAAAGCCTATTTGGTCATGCATTGTTCATATGCGGAAATGAACGATGGTCAAAAGGGGATCCATTGACTCAAAAATATAGGATTGGGAGTACCGCTGACTCCATCCGGATTTGAGTTCCTAGACGAACGTCGATAAATGTCAAAAAAACAGAATCTCTGGCCAAAGTCTATTATTAGTCATACAAAAGCAAGTTTGTGATGATGAGTTTCAGACATATTAATCAACGATTCGGTAGAAGATCGAGTTTAGGATTTTGACGTTCCATAAATCTGTGCTTGATCAGAATATTTCAATGGAGAGACTTTACCTGCATGGTACGTATGATCTGAAATGGGTTCGATGAAGTATTTCTTCATCGTGGTTTAGGGACTATGGCACATTGCTAGATGTTTACCATAGTCGTTGTGCCTCCGGATAGGTTTTCGGATTCATCCAGAACTGGCTCACGGCTAATCCACGGTGGACCTACATGGTCACACCAATAGCCTTGAGAAGTTAGAGAATCATGAGAGAGAGAGAAATGATTATCCGAAGAGGGCTAGCACCTTCCGAGGGTAATGACGTGATTTCTATGGTAATAGTTAAATAGAAAATTGTTCATGACATTTTAAGGGTTAAAATGGTCAAACAATAATTAATTATATTTAATTATTATATCTTAACGCATTAAGATTAATGAGATGAACAAAAATAACCTTTTAATAGTTAAAGGGTAAAAGGGTAAATTTATGGGTTGTTAATGTAAACTAGTTTAGTTTACATGGGCCCTTGAATAATATTTGATTATTCAAAGGATAGCATAATAAATTCATGGAGTCCCTTTTTAAAACAAGATTTTATTGGGCTTGGAAGTGAAAAATAAATAATTACAAAATTGCCCAAGTATATATAAATGCAAAAGGTTGCATTTTAGTTCAATATTCAGTTGTTCACTCAAACACAAACTAAAAGCTCTCTCTCCCTAGCCACGACCACTCTCTAACTCTCTCAAGGTGGTGTTAAAGTATGGAGGTCTTATCATTTTGAGGCTAATCTTCATCAATCCAAAGCAAAGGAGTAGGTATAATCTCTTTTCCAAGCTTTGCTTAAAAAACGTTTTTGAAATCAATCCTTTTATCCTTTCACTCTTCATCTCCACCACTCTTCATGCATGCTGATCTTTCAAATGGTATCAGAGCTAAAAAGCTCCATGCATGTCGTTTTTGAGCAAAAATCAGGTTATAACATGTGTTCATATGTTCATCATACTTGGTTGAGTTTGCATGTTGGTAATTTGGTTCAAAAATGATTTTTTTCATCTTAGATCTCTACATGCATGTCTTGGTCATACTTGGATCAGACGTAGATGTTCATTTTTCTTCTCATTCTCATATGTTTTGAATTATGGTGATGGTTATAATTGAAAGAACAGCATGCATGCATGAAGAGTGGTGGAAATGGAGAAGAAAGCATGAAATGATGGATTCAAAAAAACGGTTTTTAAACAAAGCATAGAAATGAGATTATACCTTCTTCTTTGCTTTGGATTGATCAAGATTAACCCCAAAAAGATGAGACCTCCATACTTTAACACCACCTTGAGAGATTAGAGAGTGGCTGTGGGTTTGAGAGAGTTTTAGTTTGTTTTTGAGTGAACGAGTGAAGAATGAACTAAAATGCAACCTTTTGCATTTATATATACTTGGGTAATTTTGCAATTAT